TAAAAAAGAAATGTTAATTTAAATGTCAAACCTAAATGGTCATGATCAATATAGATTGTAATATGACGTCCATGATCCTTTCGGTCTTTAGTCAAAGGTATTGAGTTTGAGTTCATGATAATAACAAAAATATTTATTGAAAGTAATACGTCAAGAAATGAGTCCTACAATAAACGAATTCAAATTTAACTAGAAATCTCAAGTTTGTTCTATTTACGGTTGCACGACACGAAGTTTAATAAAGTGGAGATTTTTAATCCTTTTCCTTGATTATGGCTTCTCCACTAGGCACTAAATAAAATATTTTAATTGATTCATTACAAAACAATGTCAATTTGTATTAGGTAAAACCCTAACTAATAACTCTTTTCAACTCAATATAAAGCTTCCCCTTGGAATAGGATCTTGCACACACTCCACTTGAGTAAACTCATTTCAAATATCCAAAATAGGATATATGGCAAACCTTACTCTTCACTTCTTACTACTTTTCTTGTACTTTCATTGTATTCTCGCAATTATTACTGAGTCTGTCACGTCTCAAACTGATCCAAACACCATGAATTTCATAGTAACCTCATGCAGAACAACGTTATACCCTACCATATGTGTTCAATCTCTCTCTGCCTACGCAAACACCATTCAACTAAACGAGCTAGAACTAGCTCATGCAGCATTAACGGTGAGCTTATCGAAGGCTAAAATTGCTTCAACATACATTTCAAAGCTCACAAGAATGAGGGGCTTAAAGCCAAGAGAATTACAAGCTGTTAAAGATTGTTCATTCAACATGAATGATTGTGTTCATCAGCTTGAACGATCGATCCCCGAGCTAGGGCAAAGTGGTAAATTAGCATCAAGAAGAGATGAATTTACTTGGCATGTTAGTAATGTTCAAACATGGATTAGTGCTGCACTTACTGATCAAAATACTTGTCTTGATATGATTAATAATCCTTCTATGGATGGAAAAATTAAGGATTCAATTAGGGTTAGGGTTTTTGTTGCTTCACAAGTGACTAGTAATGCACTTGCTTTGGTTTATAAATTTGCAGAGAAACACTCATAAGTTAGTGTCATCTTACTAGTTAGTTTTTGGCATGTACTTTTAGGTGTTAAAACTAATTTTATGGATAAATAGTTATGTGTACGTATCGATGTATTGAAATTGATAATAAGTCGTTCATATGTTTGGTTATTACAAAGTGTTGATAAGCACATTTTTTGCTAAATGACCATAATATCCTTGAAATTATTTACAAAAATAACAATACTATTAAGTATTATCGTAGTAGTATTAGTAATAATAATCGTACATTAGTGGCTGCCAAAATTCGTATAAGGACATTCAGAAATTCGTACATTAGATCATAAGGATTCAAATGCCTTTTCTATGTACGTCCACATTATGATTTTATGATGCCCTTTAGTTTCACGTGGCTCCACCCCTACTTATAACATTTATTTTTCTTTTCAAATCGAGACGTTTCATTTGAATTTCAAAGAACATGACTCTCTCTTTTCTAACGATGGAATATTAAAAAAGGAATCATACATCATGAGTTGGATAAAAATAATATCAAGGTTATTAATAGCGTTGTCTGGTTATTGATTAGTTTAACCATTAATTTTTACCTACTCTAAAACTAAAAATGACTCGTTTGACATTATGCAAGTTGCATGATAAATAAATATATAACACACATCACCTTGAATGTGTTTTGACTTCATTAATTCAATTTATATCATGTAGAGATATAATTAAGTAAATTAATATCTACGTAATTAGTTTATAATAGTTTAAATTATAAGACGAGGAGCTCACATCAAGTTATTTTAGTGAAGACTTTAATGTAAAATTTTGTTGGGATAGATCATGATTTTTACATCTTTTGAGTTAGGTGGATTTTCACGTAAATAGTATATGTTTTTTTTTTAATTTTATTCGCACTTAATAGTTATTAACTTTCTAAACCAAAAACTCCTATAATAACATATTCTTTTAAAGGAAGTTGGATTAAAAAAATAAATTAAAAATATGATATGACTCAAAAATTCACCTCTCTTGAGTTACAGATGCACTCAAACTAACAAAAGTCTTTTTTTTTCTTTGTTTTAGTGTTCGATATTTGATTAGAGGTCCAATTAATTGAAATTCGCACAAAGAAATTTCACTTTGAAAGATATTGTGCTTCTAAGAAAAAGACGACTCCATTTATATTTTTTTTTTAAAAACAAGAACAAATGATAAAATGAAATAGTACATGCAAAAGGAGAAAAAAAAAGTATGATAAAATGAAATAGCACATTCATTATTTTGATAGAGTATTTTTCGTTATCTGACTTTTCATCTTGTTGGGGTTTTCGTGCCTAAGGAATAGGTAGTGTGTTGGATCCATCTTACATATAAGTAATAATGTGTGAATATTGTGTGATGGGCTTAAGAGTAATATGGGCCGACAAATATTTCTCATATGGTCTAACTCATGGGTCATTTGTACTTTTTTTAAATTCATGTCACTCATAATAAATAAATTTTTTTATGAAATGTTAATTCATATTCTTATATCATAATACATCACAAGTTATAGTAGATCATTAGGTATAAGTTCAATGGTTAAAGCACAAAAAGTAAAGATTCAACCATTTAAAGGGAAAAAATTAAAGATTAGACCAGATCAGAGAAAAACGTACAATTTTATGCTAATTCACATATCAACGTAGAATAGGATAATTTACAAGAATGGTGTAGAGGTGGGTGATCGTGAAATTTTTTATCTTTTTTTTTGGTGAGTTAACTTTCAAGTTTAACAAATTTTGACCTTGAAAGTTTCACTACATCGAAAGTTCAAGACCACACATTTTCAAACTTATTAAGTGTAATTTCCTTAAAAAAAACATCGCTAGTCAATAAACAGTTATTTCTTATAGATCCTCGACTCAAAAAAAGTTACAAAACAGACTCGCAACAATTATTACTATCAATAAAATTTAAACTCATAAGGGAAAAAGAAGTAAATAAACAACTAATACGGCGTGGATGATGGATCAAGTTTTAATTAGTTTGATAATTATCTATGAAGATGTGAAATCTCATCTAAATAATTTTATTTTGCAGCCAACCATATGTATATATAAAATTTCATTAGTTGTGTTTTTTTTCAACAAATTGAAGACTTAATAACAATATAGTATTTGTTGTTTACAGGGTCTGTAATGAAGATTAATTAATGAGTTGTCATTGCTTGTTAATACAATCTATCTCATTTCAAAGATCAACTTGACTATCAAGGCAACTTGTGTTTATATAACTACTCACGTCTCAAATTATTTGTTATGTTTCTCTTTTACATACATCAAACATTATTGAAAATAATTTATTTACCTCATAAAGGTAAAAACAAAGTCTACGTACAATTTCACCATCTCAAACCTCACTCGTCGGATTACACTAGATATGTTATTATTTTTGTGTTTCTCTTTTACACATCTCTATAGAAAACATTAATTAGAATATTAACTTTTTAACTAACTAATTATTATTATTATTATTATTTGGTCTTTTTTCATTATTTTTTCTCAAATTATAAGTACAAATTAATTCACCCTTAGCTGTAGCAATTGAATAAAGTGTCAGCTACACTAAATGTTTACATCTTCGATCAGAGGCATGATCCAATCTGCTAATCTCTGTAACATGTACATTTACATGTTATAATTTGAATTAGAATCAAAACTTCTAAATTTTAACCATAAATTCTGATATAGAATTATTATTATTTTTGAAATAAAATTTACATAATTAAAAACTAAATAAAAATAATAATAAATCACTAAAATTAATAATGTAAAAAAATTAAAGTCAAAAAAAATTTCATCAGATAATTCAAACACTGCCATATAAATTGAGACGAGTAATTGTTTATTCTTGGGATTTGAGATCTCTCTAGGTGCTTTATTATATGAGTATTTTTTTTCTTTTGTCAATAAAAATATTTGACGAATCATTTGCTTAGTTATTGGATTTATTATCTTATAGGATCCAATTTCCAGCTATGTCATTTTTTTTAAGTATAAATACACATCAAAACCATACAACTTATGATCATTAATAATACAAATTCTCTTATATATAATTGTCAGACTTTGGCAAAAATGATGAATAAAAAGCAGAATCTCACTGCTTTATTCTTTTTTATTTTCATTCTTTTAAATTCTTCTTCTTCTTTTTTGACAAATAATCATCATGAAGAATTAGTGATGAATATTGAGATTAAAGAGGAAAAGAGTTGTGTTAAAGCTTGTATTCTTGAAAATGAGTGTAAAAATGAGAAAAATGATTATTATGTGTATCATGTTTGTATCGATATATGTATTAAGAGTTGTAGAGGGTAACTATTATATGAATATGGATTTTGGTTATGTATATGAAAAGGGATAGTGTAACGAATGAATTTTTATATTATCAGTGTATTTTACATGCTAGTTATATGCAAGGGATAGTGTAACGATCTTTAGGTATATAAAGTGTAATGAATTATGTAAAGTGTAACGAATTTTACCTTAAAAATTATAGGCCCATAGAGTAAAATCAGAATTATTATGTCATTTAAAGTGAAGAGTAATTTGGCGTTGCAAAACTTTACCAACTATAAAAGTAAAACCAAATGCAGCTCAAACATGTATTCATTTTACGAGACGAATAGCAATACCTATGAACAAAATAGTACAGATTATCAAGACGAAGAACAATGTCTTGCGTAATCTGTACTATTTTATCCAGGAACACTGTACATTGTTGTTCAAAATAGTACAGATTATCAAGACGAATAGCAATGTTTAGCAACAATTATTTTGACATATTTACTTAAACGAGAAAAATCAGAGAACCAGAGAAAGAAATCTATGTGCAACAACACATCTAATTCATCAAAAGTTCAAAAAAAAATAGTTTCAAGAGCTATAGATGGACCATATCAAATAATTTGGCTATTTAAGTATTATTTGACTTGAAGAATTCCTGCACTAATCAGCTTCTTGATTTTGTTCATGACAAGGGGGTTCTTCATATGTTTCTGAGCAGCTTTCGGGTTCTCCTGGAAATCAGCTAGTACCTGCTCGTGAACACGACAACATTCCGATCACAAAAGGAAATACAATCGGTATTATAAGGGAAAAGGTTCAAATATACCCCTCTACAGTACATGATATCTTAATTGTTACATCCTGTTATACTTTAGGCAATTCATACCCTTGCCGTTAGCAAATTTGCCTTTGCCTCCGAATGGACAAGGCGAAGTCCACGTGTCAAAAATACTTCGAGAGAAAGATCCAAATTTACCCCTCTACTTTTGACACTGGTTTAAAAGTACCTTGGCAATATATTTTAGGTTGGAGCTCCATCAGGAGCAGGGTATGAATGACTCTACAGTATAACGGAGGATAAGTTGAGATTTTTAGTACACGAGAGGGGTATTTTGATCTCCCTTAATCCATATTAAAGTCTAGAGAAACATCTATTCAGGATCAAATTTTATTTTACCTGTCCCATTACTGGATCGGTTAGAATGTTCTGAATTTCTGGGTCCTGCATTCCCTTGGCCTGCAGAATTAATTGGATATGCATGTAAGCATATAAAAGTTGTCTACGAGTAGAGCAAGATCATGGTATCATGAGAAGAAATTAAACCTGTCTCTCTTTGAGCTCCTCTGGAGTTAGATCGCCACGTGATGTCTTTTTCATTTGTTCTACACATCTGCAAAAAGGAGAACCACCATTCAAGTTACTAAATAAATCTATAGCACGCGTCACAATCAACTCCTGATTTAGAATCTTGCTCACAAAATCAACTCATCTAGGGCAATAACAGAACATCAAACTAATTCAAGCTTCAATGGTAAAATATGCTGAATGGATTCCTATAGGAAGATGGACATAAGGTGTCCAGAAATAACGAAGCAATATCGAAGAAAATTCAGGTTAAAAATAAGATAAAAGTATTCGAAATATTTCTTTACCTCCTCACACCATCTAGCAGTTCTTGATTTTGAGGATCATACGTCAACCCCGCTTGGTAAGTTTCCATGGCTTTTTCAAATTCTTTCATAAAGAACTGAACAGCACCATTTCTAGTGTAACCCTTTGCAAACGTTGCATCAAGCTCGATGCACTTCTCTGCATCTTTAAGGCCCTCGGGCAGTGCACCTAATTTTGTGTAGCAGGCAGCCCTGTTGCTGTATGTCTAACATAAAGAACAAGATATATGCATCAATAATAGTTTCTAACAAAGGAATAGACAAAGTCGCTAGATTCTACGGAGGAACAGAAGATGGATGAAGGCAATACCCTTGGATCTTTAGGATTCCTCCTTAACGATTCTGTATAACGTGAAGCTGCTTCTGGATACTTCTGCTCTTTGAAAAACTGGTTACCTGTAATCAAAGCAAAGAAAGTTAATTCACAAATTAAGAAAGGATACAACTAAGAAAAAGCCGTAACAGCAAGAGAGGTACCTTTCTCACGCTCCTCATCTGCTACTTGGGGATCACAATACTCTTGTTGTTCCAATTCTTTCTTCGCCTTCTCAGCCTCATTGAGTTTTTTCAGTGTCTCAGGGTTACGATGTTCAGTAAGAGCTTTTTGGAAAGTTTCAATTGCAGGTTCATAATCCTTTGAAATTTTTGCCATCTTCACAAGGGCAGTTCCCTTTCGAGTCAGAGCCCTAGCAATCATCTTATAGTCTGATCTGAGCTCCCTCCCCCTTTCAACAGCCTTGTCACAATCTTTCATGCAATCCTCATACTGAAATTAAGACAAACAAAAATAAGGAAGAGCTCTGATAGACTATTCATGAGTTGAATAAAACCCATGCAGAAGGATACACAAGTTTACCATAGCACCACATCAGCGGAATGATACAGTTTAGGTCTTAACGCTAACCATGCCATAGTGGAAAAAAGAGGATCAAATGAAAAGCAATTATACATCGCAACAAAGATGAAAACACATCCTAAACAAAACAATTAACGCATATGCTTACTCGGAAATTCCTCTTCCTCCGCCCTGAACTTGTCTTCCCCTATCTTAATAAACTAGTAGTGGTCTTAGATGATCACAAATCATCAAGTCGAACTTGTTATATTTTCTCCTAAAGTTAGTTTTAAGCTCATTTCAAAGTATATTAAACAGAAATAGATAGACATGCCAGAACAAACGAGACCTGACCAAAAAATCAATTAGTAAACTACTAATCCTTTTACAGAATTCATCGACAATCCATTTATTTTTCATGCAATAGCATCTAGATTACTGCACTACCAAAAAAGTAATTTAATTAGAAAAGGCACATATATTGGACAAGTAGGTACTTCTTTTTAGTCCTTAATGCACAACCAAAAAAGTAACTGAATTACAATGCACAATGTATTGGACAGGTAGCTATTCCTTTATAATTTCAGTTTCCTACTCTCTATCCCTCTGTTCATATTCTTACTCAAACCAGTTTTCCTCTTATTTTATAATCTGCAATAAAATCTAATTATGCAAACATGCTCTTAGGTATCTAACTCTTTTCTTATCAGAGCTCTTCATAGCTACTTTGAAAGATAGTAGCACAAAAAGACAAATAAGAGAGCTCATTACCATTATCTTTATGTATCCAGCAATTCCTTTATCAATGAGAAAAGCAACAAACTTTTCTAGAAGTATAAAATTTATACAAGCTTAGCATTCTATATGAGCTCACATTATCAGTTCCAAGCCCGAAGTAAATCTAGAGAAGAGTCACACATAGTCCTTCCCCGCTAAAACTAGTCAATTCATAATTGCATTGGGACCTAATCTCCTAGGAATATATTGCTTGAACATAACTAGTTTGTTTGAGGCATAGTAGTTGTTGTGTCAAATACGCAGCATTAGAATAGCAGGATTTCTTCAAACAGATCATCATAATCCTCAAAATAAGGAAATAAGAAAAACAATCAACTACCAAGGGTTTGACTAGTAGTTAATCAAGTGAGTTAAAACCATGAGGTCTCAGATTCGAAACTCATGTGAGGCAAAGAAAACTACTCCCTCAATTCCATTTCAATTTATTTATTTTACTTTTCGTTTTAGCCCGTTTCAAAGTTCTTTATTTCTTAAACTCCATGTCAAGTAGAAGATTTCTTAAACTCCATGTCAAGCAGAAGAAACCAGACAAACAAATTGAGAAGTGTGAACGTTGACCTAGATACCACGGTTAGCAAACAAACAAATAAAAAACAAGGAACTCCATAAGCATACATTATATTATAACAGAGTAAAGAGTTCTGCGCTATACCTTTCCCATCTCCAAGAACACAGCAGCACGGTTAGTAAGAAAAGAAATATCAGCATCATCCAGCTCAATTGCCTTAGTATAAAGCTGAACAGCATTCTCAAAATCCTTCTTCTTATACGCCGCATTACCTGCCTCCTTCTCCTTCAGCGCCAACACTTTCCTCTCCTTCAACTCCTTCTCCTCCTCCGACACTTCCACTGGTTTGGGCTGAGGTACGCGATGTGCCTTGTACCCGGCCCGTTTCTCCTCTTTCACGGGCTCACTCTCTGCTCGTCTTTTCCTCTCCGGTGAACCTCCCGGCATCTTTACACCCTCCTTTGGCGTCCTAGTATCCCATTTCATCCCTAACAAAACTCCAAACGCTTGCATTACTCTCTGATCTTTCATATAAAGATTCAAATTGTTCGGATTCTTCTGTATATCCTGCATCATTCTTACAAAATCCGGTTGTTGCAAATACGTTCGGGTCCTCGGGTCACTCGTCAACTTAGCCCACATCTCCGGCCCGTAAAATGCATCACCAAACGAACTACTCGGACCTCTACCTCGACCCTGACCCGACTGAGCATCCGAAAACCTGGATTTCAACACTTCATTATTAGGATCAATTTTCAAACCCTTTCTATACGCTAAAATGGCGTCGTTATAGTTATTCAAACCTAAATAAGCAGCGCCTACCCGAGAATAACCTTTAGACCAATCCGGTTTCAGTTCAACGGTTTTCTCAGCGTCAATTAAGGCTTCGGAGAATTTGTTCAAGGAAGCGTAAGCTGCTGATCGGTTAGAGTAGAGAACGTGATTGTTAGGAGAGAGATTGATTGCTTCAGTCAAGTGGAGCACGGCGTCGGTGAAGTTACCGGATGCGAATGCAGCGTTGCCTTTGGACTTAGGTTCGTCTTCGTCGGCGGCAATAGTTGTTTTTCTCCGGCGAGTTGTTGGTTTGTTTGTTCTTCTAGAGAATTCGTTGTAACTGCACGGAAAGAGGATGAATTAGGGGGTTATATAGGCGAGGGGGGAGGGGGTGGTGAAGGAGGGAATTCGCGGCACATTTTAGGAATATAGTTTTTTTTTAGAAAAAAAAAACTACACTACACAAATAGCCCTCCCCTCAAATATTTACTTTCTTTCAATTTTTTAATATATATTATGTCTATTTTTATATGTTTAATGAACTAAAATAATTATATGTTGAAAGAATAATTTAAAATTATTATAGCAATTCTAAGTTGCGTAGTATTTATTATTTAGTATTTTCTTTAATTATATCTAGTTATGATTTGTTTAAAAATAGAGGTATATTCTGACTCCAAAAGGAAGGTATTATGTTTCACAAAGCTACCAAGAGGTTTGCCTAAAATGCAAGAATCCGATTTAATATGGAGTGCAGTAATGCTATCTAAGTAGTCTGGTTGGCATAACAAGAAAGGAAAGGTTAGTACACCTAAACATTTTCATTGATACAAAACAATGTTGCTTATGTGAGGAGGACTAAGAAAAGACACTTGTTTGCAGAATGTCGATATGTATACGAAGTCAGGAGCAAATTGAATAGGTGGCTAGGGATAGAAATACAATGTAAATGTGTGTGTTGCACACAGAGCAGACTCTTGCCTATAAAATTTTAGGCATTGGCCTTAGGCCCCCAATTTTTGGGGGCCTCAAATTTTTATAAATAAAAAATTATGTATCTTAACCCGATTCAAATAGAAGAAATTAAGGAAACATGTTTTGGACTCTTACATTTTCTTCGTTAACACTCACATTATTTATCCTTTGTAACTCTTTTTGCACTCTATTTCTTCAAATCTTTGATAGTTAGAGTAATACACTCTCAAAAATATGAATCAATAGTCGAAAAGTGTTGAACAAAGTGCATTACAAATTCTTTTTTTTAATTTATTTGTTAATTTTCATATTAAAGTAGGTATACCAAGTTATCAACTTTTTTAATCAAATTCTATGATTCTAATTCTTATCTTTAAAGTTTATCAGCTTATTACTTATAAAATTGTGTTAATAATTCATATAATAATTGTCTCAATAAAAGGATGTTTTTCAATGTTGAATTGATATAATCTTACTTAAAACTAATAATTAAAAAAAAAGTGTTTGAAAAATCATTTATATAAAAGATATTAAGTAGTAATTTACATCTAGAAATTTAGAAAATAAATAGATATAGATAAAATTTATATAGATTTTAGGCCTCTAATAAAAATTTCGCTTTAGGCCACAAATTATGTTGAGCCGCCCCTGGTTGCACACTTCAATGGATCAAGAGAAGAAGGTGGAAGCACTTCCAAAAGGAGATAGTAGCAACAATATGGGGGATAATGATCTACTACATGTTGTAGTCAATAAATTTAAAAAAATTTAAGCACAAGAGTGTACGACCAAAATATGCGATTACACAAATATAGAAGAAAATACGTGAGAGAGTATACATGTTACAAAGTACAAAGAGAGCTCATTGATGTCAAAGGTTGATTTTGCCACTTATGTAATTAGATGTTTGTTTTCTCGAGATCTAGCTAGTGGTTATGAGGTACCCTTCCTAGAAGGTGGCTGAAAATACTAGAGGCTCCTTAGGGTGTAATATTTGTTTGGTATGGTAATATTTCACATTTTATCACCAAAAAAAGAAGAAGAGAGAAATAATAATATTTAAGACTTTTTAAATTTACGAATAAGAAATAGAAAATAGCCCTTGCCTTTCAATTTGTTAAGTAGCAAAAATAAAATAAAAAATGGTCGCAACACAAAATTGAAGTAATGTGTTATACGATATAATTTAGTTCCTATAAAATTTATATCGATGAAAGAATAAGTTCGTTTTAAGAACCAATAAAGCTACACTTGTTGGATGCAAATTAAAATACTTCCTACATTTCATTTGTGAGGCAATGTACATTCATTAAGAAGAAAAACATTCAAGAACATAATTTAAACTATATTTTTCACTATTACCTTTTTGTTTATTCCCAAGTTATTCTTAAAAATAAAAATAGTTGTTTCTTAAAATGTAAAACTTCATTAAACGGAAAAACATATGTGAAAAAAGAATTCAAGCATTTATCTTGAATTTTCTATAATAAAAAAAGATTCAAAATTTATTTATTATGGAATAGAAGAAGTGATACACAATTTATTTCTGACAAAGTAGAGTAATTATTTTGAATAAAGACTATCAATTTGAGAGACAAAAATTAACGACGAGGAAAATGGAAAAATTACGCGTATAAGCAAACATATATTAGTTAATTAGTTAACATAGCTGTAGTTTGCCTTAATTACAATTTGCAACCTATTTTTAGCTATAATTATGTGACTCAACTTTTTAGTTTTGTATAAAATGCACGTTTGTATAATTCAGAATTTGTATAATATAATTTTTATAACTGTTTACACTTCTGATGTTTGTAATTGTTTAAATTCGTTATTTCGAGTTTATACAAAAATAACTAAATTATACAAATGTATCCGCGAATTATACAAACCTGTGAATTATACAAATTTGTGAATTATACAAACGAGACAGGTTAAATTATAGCTACAACCCGTAAATATACAAACTATAGTTATAAAGCATAATTAAGTTTATTCTAGTGGCTATTTGTAAAAGTTCCCCGAGGAAAATTCATGAAAAAAATTGAGTAGTTAAAAGAGCCCATAATACAAAAGCCCATAATATTGGCCCACCTAGACCCATTAGCATTTCTTCTTCCTGCAATATCCGTGTGCAGAAAAAAATTAAGAAAAAAAAAAGCGACGCATCGCCAAACAGCAGCCACCACTCTCAAAATCTTGAAACAGTGAACGGAATCGAATTGTATGTATTCCTTTTTCTTTTTACTCTCTCTCTAATTTTACGAAACCCCTCTGTTTCCCCCATTGTTTTTGAACTGTTTTCAGAGAATTTTAAAGCATATTTTTTTGAGGTAAACTTGATTTTGAACTCTTAAACTTGGATGAGTTGCTTACGCTTTGTATTTTGTTAGCACCCAAAATTACAATTTTATTGATAGATTTTTAATCTAATACTCCCTCTGTCCCAATTTAGTTTGATTGGATACGGAGTTTATGGAATAAAGGAGAGATTTTTAAATTTTGTGGTCTTAAACTTGCAAAGGTTGAAATTGGAAAACTTACTAAATATAGAAAGATATTATTTTCTATTGTATTCTTGTTATTTGTTATCCATTGATGGGTTTTGGAGTTATTTTTGTTGCTATTTTCTGAATTTGCATAATCCTCTTATATGAGTGCTTAGGAATATGATTACTGAGCTATTTGTAGGACAAAATATGATTTTTTTGATAGGGTGTGAATCCCTGGACACCATGATTAACTTGTTTGGAATTAGTCAAAGTGTGCCCAAGTTAGCATGGACACCACTGTTATCGGGAAAATGATGAATTTTTGAGAATGTACAATAGATCAAATTCATTTCTGTGATGCTCGTTTGGTCGCTTTATTGATGAAGGAATAACATTTAAGAATCAGTGTATTTGGAATGGAGTTGCAAAGCTTGTAATTTTTTTAGGAATGTCACCTGCCCTTTTATGTGATTTTGTAGGATCCTGTTAGTTTTATAACTTGAAGGATGTTCATTGTTTAGTGATCCTTTAAGGATGTAGTGTAATGGGTATACATTAGAGATGTATGTGGCCAAAAACCTTTCGTCGCCCTATTCCACTTGAATATATAACTGCTTGTTCCACGTAAGATGGTTTTGTCTGTAGATTACACTTTCTTTTTGTTTTCGATAAAAATTACACCTTTTCATTTCATTATATGATATAACCCAAAAAAAATAATATTGAAGTCCACTACCAGTGAGCTAAGCAAGTTGTGCACCATGTTTTTACTAATAAGAACAGCATAATTTTTGACAAAACCCCTTTTAGTTCAGCTAGCTGCACTTATGAGGCCAAAACTTGGTGCTCTGTCTTGTACCAACACAGGAAGGACAAGGAGTAAGACTGTAAGAGCAATAGGATCATAAGCGAACTTTCGAGCTTTGCCTTTCCAAGGCTGATCAACTAGCCATCCCCTAATAGAATACCTGGAAATAGAAGCTACATGCTTGAACTGATGTCGGAGAACTACTTACTATTCACTTCAGAGTGATGAACGAAGCAACTAGAAATGTATTGGAGCACCAAGTGTTGAGAGCATTAAGCTTTGCTTTCTTTTTTTGCATTTCTGCTTGATCTCTCCATTAATGTTTCAAAGAATGTTTCTTATTTATTTTTTCAGAAGGAATAGTTTAGAAATAGTCTACCTAACGTTGAGCCAATATATTTTAAGCTTTCTTAGAACAAAATTTGCATTTCATCTTGTGTCCTCTACCCCAGGGTGTCCAACTGGATACCCTTCGTTGGAAAATTACGTTTTATATATATGTCGAATTCTACATTTAAAAGATATATATTTAAAGTTGGACACCCTTGGCATGTGTCTGGCGTAGTGGTAATATGTGTCCATTTGAATGAAGGATTTCTGGGTTCGAACCCCGAATAGCACAATAATTTTTTGTTTTATTTTGACAGCCACACCATTATTCTTCGACGCCCTTAATATAATTTTTGGTTCCGCCACTGCCTCTGACTTTATTGAACTTGCTCATTTTTGTCTTCTTTAGAATTAGTATTATTCACAGTGTTGCTCCATTGCTTAAAGTGCCGGAGCAATGCGAAACGATGGTTTACAATTCTAATAATGTGAAATGAAGCAATTTGGAAGAGACACTGTAAGTCATAAATTGATCCAAGCAAGAACCAGTCACTGCTTTGAGTGTAACTTTAGAGATGAAAAGAGAAAGTAAAAGGAGGAGAAAAGTGTGGTGTTTTAGTACCTGTGTAGTAGGACTTATATCCGTGTATCATAAAACCGGGCCTTTCGCTACATTTGTACTCAGACTCCTCTCTTTGTTGTTTTCTTCTTCATCTTATTTTTCTAGCTTGCAATGGCTCTTCTATTTTTCTGTATCTTTGTATCTGCTGAGTTGCTTCTTACTTCGTTTTCTTTTATAATGACTTTTTGTTCTTTTGATGTGTGGCCCTTCTCTTCTCTGCTTCTTCTGCTTCATGCCTTTTTTTCATTTTCTTCTTCTACTATCAATTGTTTTCAATAGTTCTTTTTATTCTCGTTATTTCGGTATATCTCTGATTTTTTATTTATAAGTTGATTGATAAGAAGATAAGCAATGACAATTGCAACTTAAGTTGATATTAGTGCAGTGGTCAAAGCAATCAAATAAATATTGAACGCTGCAAATCTATTATTTTACTCGTGAAACCTACCCTTACAGAGTCCAATCTATTTGTCTTCCAGCTGTGCACTTCAGTAGTGGAAGGTTGACAATAAACTGTAATATATCATATTCATTTCTCAAGCGAGAAACAAGAATAATGCTGAATCCTGTTTGTTGTCTACCATCTATTGGTAAACAGAAATTTACAAAACGAGAGAGGTTTCCAGAACTTCTTGGAACATTGAATCAAAAAAAGGTGTCCAAAAGCACAAATGTCTTGTTGTATCCGTGTATTGTGTCCTTCATGTCAAGCCAAGTTAATTTGTATGTATGAGGATAGGTACTCGATCCATTCTATTTAGCATCTAAATTTTTTCCTCATAGATACATATAATCTTAAGAACTCTTAACTAGATACATGTACTCATGATTTGTATCCAACATTGTTGTATTTCTAATGGTGTATTTGTTCTGTTACTTAAAACTTGGTATAATTCTTCCATCTTGATTGGGTTGTTCCTATACTTAGATATTTTCTCGGCTTGAATGTTGATAGATGAAGAGTCAGTCCCTGCAATGAGAAATAATGAGTAAAAATAAACAAATAAAAGTTGTATGATTTAGTATAATATTGTTGATGTGTAGTACCTTTAACCAGAATCGTCCGATTTTGAGAATGGTCAGCCATTAAAGTGTTTGAGAAACAACAAAGTCAAAAAATATAAAACCTAATTTGTAAAACTTTTTTAAATTGAACTTAAGAACATTATGAATTTTAACTCAGATACTAAATCAAGATACATGAGAATAATAAAACAATAAAAACAAATCTATATGTAAAATACTGCTTTGAACATGCAAATATGTATTGAATGAATGAAGATATAAATTAAAGAAGGAGAAGAAGAAGAAGAAAGAAAGTGGGCTGCTGGACATGGGGGTGGGGAACGATCGGCGACAGATGGGAATAAAAAAAATTTAATTTGTTAATGAGCATTAATTAAGGAGTTTAAATTTAAGATAATTATTCAATACTATATTTAAGAGATTTGTGTATCTTAATAAATCTTTTGAAATATATGGTATAAATATTTAAAATGATAATATGTGTAATTATTTTTAACTAGAGATAAATATAGTATATATGATAGTGATGTAAGTGTGTTGTTAGGTAGTTTTTCCTATAATTTATGTCATGAGAAAAAGTAGTTGTAGGGTCAAAATAAAAGTGCAAATGAAGATTCACGGCCCAGTGGGTCTCAAAAAATGTAGGCCCAAAGGCACTCTTTTTTATTTTTTATCGAATTGCAAGCCATTAATTGAGAACCCAAAATAAGATTACTCTTCAAACTACCGTTTCTTCTCCGGCGAAAGTTCACGATTCTCCGGCTACTGCAAAACGCTTTGCTCTCCATATTTTCTGGCAGCTCAAATCAAACTTGTAAATAATAGCTGTCTCCATCTTTTCCAGTCGCCAAAAGCGAATTTGTAAACCCCAAAACCCTACCAAGCTAGAAAACTGTTCAGTGAGTTTCTGCTAAAAAGAGATGGCTTCTTTAATATCTTTAGTTTCTTCCGAGTTTTGTTTGATGGTGCTGGATTTAAGTGAAAGCTCAGTTTTAACTATTTTTCATTTTCTCAGAGTAATTTATTTGCTTAAGTTTCTCTAGATATTCAATTGAAAAGCGCAAACAACCTCTCTACCTTCTGAATGTAGAGGTAAGGTCTGCGTACACAATATCCTCCCTAGACCTGACTTGTGAAATTACAATTATTACATTGGGTTTGTTGTTACTTGATTATTTTCGGTTTCCTTCTCTTACTCTAAAAATGAGAATTTGTTAATGTATATATGTCAAAAGTTCTTCCTTTTTTCTTAAGTTATTGCCAAACAAATTTGGAGAGGAAGAACTTCTCTTATAGCTTCTAAGTATGTAAATTTTATATTTGAATTCACGCAAAAAAAATTAGGTGCCTTGTCAGAGTACACTGACCTCCAATGCTCTTTTTGGAATGGAGGAAGTAATTTATTTTTCAAAACTTCTTTATATGAATAGGAAAAGGGAGAGCATGAACATAAAATATTTACCATTATATTTGAGTTTCCTTACTAGGGATAAAAGTCATAAACTTCATATCATTTACTCCAATCCTTATGCCAAGATTATGAACTGTTATAAGGAGTGATTATGTATGATTTCATTCACTTACAGAGATGGTAGGGCTATCTGTTGGAGAAAGGAACTTTATTAAGGGTGGTATTGCCCAGGATCTGCGCAATGATGGTAGAAAACGGCTAACTTATCGGCCAATTTATGTGGAAACAGGTGTAATTCCTCAGGTAGTGTTATGTTCTGTTATATAGATAGTAAAATTTCCGCCCACAAGTGTTTCTTTTGCTACAACTCAAGCTCAATATTAAACTTTATTGCTTCTTACAAGGCAAATGGATCTGCAAAAGTCAAGTTGGGGGCGACTGATGTTATCGCCAGTGTCAAGGTACTGTAATGATCTAGGCGTTGAAACATGTTTCTATCTTTTATTTTTGATTTAATGATGCTATTAGGATTTTCTTTAATAATTTCTGTGCAATTTTGTTATGGAAGTTGTACTAATTTGGCCTATTCAATTCTTATTGCAGGCGGAACTTGGAAAACCTACTTTATCTCATCCTGACCAAGGAAAGGTTTTTATTTACGTAGAGTGCAGTCCCACAGCAGAGCCATCATTTGAGGTGTGTACATGGATTCATTTTACTTCTGAGTTTTCGTTTATCTGTTTCATAGTTTTGTTAGAAAATTTGGTTCAAACACCAACCTGAGTTCCTCAATTTTTTATATTTGGCAATAACCTTTCTTATTCCGAACATAAAAGTCAATACTGTTAAGCTCTTCTTATGACATACCTATGTTAGTATTTTATCAGTTATCAGTTTCGTTTATGTTGATTTATGCAGGGCAGGGGAGGTGAGGAATTGTCGACAGAGCTCTCGACAGCACTTGAGCGAAGTCTCTTGGGTGGTAAAAGTGGAGCAGGTATTCGAGAGGAAAATCCACACTTCTGTCTTACTTTAATCCACGTTTCTGCTACTGGAATTGTTTCCAGCTATTGGTGTAAATGTTGCACTTATGCATCTCTCGAGTTGATAATCTTGTGGTGTGTTTCATTTTGCAGGGGCTGGAATTGATCCGGCGTCTCTCCTGATCAAAGAAGGAAAAGTATGCTGGGATCTGTATGTCGATTGCCTTGTCATTAGCTCGGATGGAAATCTGCTGGATGCTCTAGGTGCTGCAATCAAGGTACATTCTAACAACGTTTCCTCATCATGTACTAGCAAGGAAAAGGAGGGTGAAACTTGCTTGGACTGTTTTAGAATTTCTGTGATACTCAAGAATGCAACACGAAAGCATTATTCCCCATCTTCTGACTAATCATTTTGCTATCTAAGATGGTACAATAGAGAGAAATCATATTTAATTGAAACATTCTAAGCAGCAATGACTGTTGTTCTTCCAGGCAGCTCTGAGCAATACAGGCATTCCGAGAGTTCAGTTTCGTGAAGCTGCTTCATCAGACGAGCACGCAGATGTGGATGTTAGTGATGAAGAATTTCTGCAATTCGACACCAGTGGAGTACCTGTCATAGTTACTTTGACAAAGGTAACCCAACCCTATTAATCAGAATCCATTTTACGCGACTGTTACTTACATGCACCATGGACGTTTTCCCTTCAATAATTGCAGGTTGGAAGGCACTACATTGTCGATGCAACTTCAGAGGAGGAATCCCTAATGAGCTCAGCTGTTTCTATTTCTGTTAATAGACGTGGACTAATATGTGGATTGACTAAACGAGGAGGTGCAGGGTTAGACCCTAGCGTCATACTTGACATGATATCTGTTGCGAAACATGTAAGTGAGCAGCTAATAAACAAACTTGATTCGGAGATAGAAGCAGCCGAAAGAGCAAATGAAGAGGAACCATGACATAGCTACCTATATATAGTTGTTCATGTGATCATTTGTAAGAGTTAGATTTTCACGCAGTTTAGTTGTGAAGCAATTTGGAGTTGATTGTTTTGTTGATCAATCATCGATGATTATATACTGTTAAGTTTATTAAATGATCTTGTCTATACTGTTTGTTTGAAAATGATCTTCAAGATCTTTTGATTCAAAATAGTGCATCTTCTATTGTGGTGTTGATGATTTTGTCTTGGAGCTGAGGTCTATCGAAAACAGTCTCTCTATCTCTATAAGGTAGGGGTAAGGTTTGAGTACATATCACCCTTCTCAGACTCCATTAACCGAATTATATTTGGTATGTTGTTGCTTTTGTCCCGGAATAATATTGTGCAAGTGGAAAATCCCAAATACTTTTCATTTTTCTAGGACTCTCATAAGTCAAGTAGAAATCAAGATTTTAATTTATGAAAAAATGGAATATGAAATAAGAATGATAATTTGTAATAAATAGGTTAGAGTAGCTCAAGACATACTTAGCAATACAAAATCCTCACATAAACAATCTCTATTATTAATTTATTTATTCATTGCATATAATTTTCGAGTCGCTATTCACTACAATAACAATTCTTACATTATTATAATTCCTGCATTACTACTCCGCGCACTAAAAGACGACAAGATAAAATCAATGGAGTTACTTGCACCCCACAAGGTGAAAATTCATACATTGACAACATTTCCACTTTTATTATCACTTTCGGACAATTACCATGTTATTAACCGATCAAAACTTTAATACAACCTACGGATTCTGAAAAAAAAACTATTGTTACCCAAAAGTTGTATACACGACGGGTTTAAAGTTAAGCTTCAAATGATAAAAACAAGATGAGGAATCTGCTGCCTAATCTATCATTAGTTAACCCTAAAACTTGCAAGAAAAATGAACTAGGAGGACAATCCAACTTGTACAAAAAAAATTGAAGTAGATTTGCCACAGTTGATGGTGATAAATACTTCGTCGAAAGAGGGGATTTGGAGCTATAAATCGAGCTCGTCATCCTCCAAGGCAGAATAAATCACCCTACAGAAAGGAAAAAAATATTGAGTTAGCCAGTAGTGTCTTGCTTGAAGTGCTTTAACCTATGTTGCTCGGACTCTACAAAAATAATGTCTCGCCATATCGAATCCTCCAAAAATGCAATAATCTTGGAGGATCCCGACATACACTAGTCAAGATTTTTAAACAGTCTAAGCGACATAGGCTTTAACAATCAAAGAGCTTACACACAGTAACTTACCAAAATAATGAGATGACGAGAAGAATTATGATGTGGGCAAGTTTGAAAATCCTCTGTTTCTTTTCCCAACTGAGCATATTAAAAATCTCAGTAACATCTATAAGGTGCCGTCTTTGCATGTACCTAAAAAAGCAAGAAGAGTTCAGATGACATTTATGAAATGATCAACTGTATCCGATAGAGTCAGTTGTTATGTTGCTCGCGCTCATAAAAATATCAATGGGTGTGTGTGGATCCTCACACAAGGTAGAGGTAAGGTCTACGTATACCCATTGTTATCCTCCAAAAGTAATACAATTTTGGAGGATCCGAAGGCCGAGTCAACATATTTAGAGAGTCCAAGCAACATAGGTCAGTCAGCAAGCACAAGCCGTAACAATTCTGGCAACTAATATATGAACACAAGTAATAAAAAATCTTAAATGCCATTATTGAATTATTCAAAGGAAGAATTCCTTCCCCAAAGAAAATCAGCATGATGTAATGTTTATTTTTTTGAGTACATTTATCATAGCATAACGAAAAAAATACAAGCTTTATGTTGATTACTTTTGTACCAAGTACAGGTTCAAGCCAGTGAAGAACCCGCCTAATGTCAATATTTCTATACAAGGTCCTTTCTCAGAAAAAATATGTCTATAGAAGGCCACTTTCATAGTTGCAAATGGAAGAACTCTGCATAGATTTCCTTTTATTTTAAGGACGGATGCCAAGTTGACTTCATAGATCAAGAGTTTTACAGCAACACTACAAACTATTGGGTTTATTAGCACATAGAATACTGCCAATACTTTCCATCATTTTTACCTTTCCTTGCCCTACTGCAGCATAGTATTTGTTCTTTTTTTTAATGTTTTTTCTCCCATTACGAAGGGGGATTCAGGAAGGGGAAGAGAGAGAGAGGAGATAAAATCAAACTGTCACTTATTGTGTGGAAGACTCCCATCAATACCATTAGATTATAAGCCTTGGTGGTGAGCCATAGTATATAGCCACTTGGTGGTTCAAAAACTTCCATTTGCCGTAAAAGGTGTTGTAAGACCTTTGTTTTTGACTTCGTCTCTCAATCTTAATAATGTAAATTTGCTTCCTCTCTTCCCATTATTTGTTGTTTTTTACTGTTCTTTTCAGTATGGATTTTTCACTAGTATATTTTTTACATACTTGATTTTTTATGTGTTTTACTTGAGTTGAGGGTCTATCTGAAACAACTTCTCTACCTTCTCAAGGTCTTTACCCTGTACACACTACTCTTCTCAAACCCCACTATATGTTGTTGCTGCTTTCTCTCTTCCCATATTCAAAATCACACCGTCTTCACGGTCCAGTATTCAAGTACATTGAATATACTAAAACCATCAATTCATTTTTGCTCAGTTCAAGGCAAAGTAGAGTTTTCTTCAACTCAAATCTAGTCTGAATTTATTTCTCTAATGGATCAACAGTTTAGTCTTAAACTTGACAGCTACACATCTTTGGTTTTTATATATGAATTGATTGCATATATATTAAACAATTTCCAACACATTTATTCAACCACCCTAGCTCAAGCAGTCTATCAGCAAGAAAACTGTAAGCATTTGTTCCATATAAACTCTGTCAAAGGTAATAAAATCCAATGTAACTTTAATTTATTTCTGTAGAGCCCAAGTTTTCTCAACTCAGTGATCTCCTCTTGAGCATCATTAGCGGAGATAAGGCTTCAACATGTCAATCAAAGAGTAAGGAGTTAAGACCTGGTTTTTAGTAGTGTATCAAGAAAAAATAAGACTATCGGAGTTCAAGAGTCATCCCAGCATTAGCAAAAGTTTCAATGCAGTACATAGGTTGAGTAATTGAACCTCCTAGAACTGCAGTAGATATGCTACAGTTGAGCCTGCCCCAGTGCACACAATCTTGATTGAACTTGAGATCGGACAAGCTCGACATATTATGACCCAGATTTGCTAAAATCAATGCACGGACTAAACATCTTTATCTCAAGGAACTACAGTAACATACCCATCTAGAGACAGCTCGAGACAAGTAGATTGCAAGTGGAAAAAGAGACAGAAAAGTCAATTGAAAGAAAAATTTAGTACTAACTCAACGCCTAAAAAAGTTTTTGTGTCAGAAAAACTGGCAAAGAAACATCTTGATCTGACCTCCAACCCAAGGAATAATTGACAAATGAAGATACACGAAAACCATCAACAATCAGTAAAGGAAACATAGCGTGTTGAGTTTACATTTCATTCAATGCAAAATAATGATAAAAAGCACTTCATGATCTAAATCCTCTCTCAATTTATGTGGTGTAGTTTGACTGGCATGGTGTTATGAAAGAAGCAAGGACTTTTGGAACTAGCGGTATCTAAACATGCCATGAGCTTCGGTACCTATAAAAACATGTTACTAAGGGTAAAATGGGAAGTTCATAGTTGAAATGTTCCAAATATAGGATGTTTCTTTTTAGAACCAACTGATAAGGAAATAGTGACACATAAAATGAAACGGAGTGAGTAATACTGCATACAATAACACAGAATGTGCATCAATGGAGGATCATGACCTAAATCGTCTCTAACATATTTGAAGCCTAAAAGAATTGTTAAGATCAACATGATAATTTACTTATAATGATTCATGCCGTCTCAGTATTTTTTTATTTTTTTATTTTTCCATATGCATTAATTTTCTTTCATAGACAAGCAGACCTAAAAGTGACCAAAACGAAACTTCATTATTGCACTAGATGAAAAGAGAACTTACAAATTGACATTGTAGTATAGATATGGAACGCAGTAAAGCGACATAGCCCAATGCCCTGTAACCAGGTAGAGGAAGCACAGAACTCCTTGCGTGATGAACTCAGGTAAAACAACTTTGTTTATACGAGATGCAGTTTCGTAAGGATTGATATAGTCAAACTCTAGATCAGTTAAGGAGATGAGCTGCAATGAATTTCAAAATGTCAGACTTCATTTAATAAACAGGAAAACGTCTTCATTGATGATAATAAACAGAAAAACCTAGACTTCGCAGTAGTTCTAGTTAAGTTATAGTCGAATAGACTTCCAAACAAAAACATCATTCAGAGCATCTGATGATTACGAGAAAAGTCAGTTACAAACATGCAGATATCTTTTCCTTGAAACTAGACACCAGAATATTCTTACATTCTATTGAAGAAGCTCCCAAATACATCACAGAAATTTCTGCATATTATCCCCTACAAAAACTTAGGCACAACCATACGGTACCGTGCCACGAATAGTTGAAGAACATCTAACTCTTGTACATACCATAGCAGACAACTTAAGAATAACTGTAATTCCAAGACCTAGTTCTATGGAGCATTGCAACAAGATACTCACAAAACCTTCATACTATTGAATCATAAGACTTATAACCTTCAGGAGCTCAAATTAGTTAACCAATTGACTAGACCTCAATCCAGAAAATGTTTTCCAATTTTTCCATGTTCGGTTGGTCAAAATAATTTCTCTGGGAAACCAAGTTATACAACTGGCTTTCCACATTGATTGTGTCATGTCCACCATCCAACACACCTAATCTTCACCCCACCCCCATAACCCCCATCCCTACCACCCCACCCTCACTTACTAGGTGACATCTTTAGTAATTCATAGAAGTAAGCTAACCATAAATCGCCATTAATCATTGCTAGAAGGAAAAGAAATATTTCTCTAAAACAACAAAAAAGAACTACTCTCTCCATCCTAATTTACCTGACATTCTTTCTTTTTTTAATCAATAAAAAAATGGCATTTTTCTATATTTAGTAACAATTTGACTTTAAACTTTCCGTTCCACATAGATACCTATAGCTCATGTTAGATCACAAGTTCAAAGTATACATTGCATTCTTAAACTTCGCACTCAATCAAACACCATAACATAAATTGGGATGGAGGGAGTATAATGAAGAAAAAAGAAGGTACCACCTTCCACCAGCACAGATATCAAGTAACTTTATACCCAAAACTAGAACAAATAGGAAGAGATCACCAAGTATTTTAGTTTGTCTCTACTGAAATTTAAATCTGACACCTTATGGTTCTCAACCGACTTCATAGACCACTAATCATAAATCTCCAATAATCATTGCTAGAAGGAAAAATAATTGCTCCAAAGCAGCCAAAAAAAGTATTATAATGGAGAAAAAATGTTGAAATTGGGGTTTTAAAAGAAATTGACCTGGAAAATAACCATAACAAGTATAGCTACGACTATGAAGAAGAAGAGTAGCCATATCAGCATATCTCCCATTGTAGCCTACTGGCGCACGATATGATTGAAGATCCTTGATCGCTGATCGGTAGGCCGGCTGCGTATTGCGCCACCGGTTTGTTTATCGGAGGTGAAATTCTGGACCGGTGCCGGAGTCAATAGTTCCGGGAGTAAAGGTGTTTGTTGATCTGGGTACGGGTAGGAATGTCAAAAAATAAAATAAAAAATAAATATTATACCATTCCATTTTTTAAAAAATAATTTATTAATCATTTTATAATAATAATAAAAATATATTTCTTCGACTTAATTAGATCAAATAGGAGAAATTCGAGCTAGTTTACTTGGATAAAGAGTCTATCGAAAATAATATTTCTGTCTTTATTTATAAAATAGGGGAAAGATGGTATATACAATATCCTTTTCGATCTCATTTAAAGAAATACATCAGATATGTTGTTCTTATAATTTGCGTTAGTTAAAATAGCATAATTACACTTGGATAAAGAGTCTATCGAAAATAATATTTCTGTCTTTATTTATAAAATAGGGGAAAGATGGTATATACAATATCCTTTTCGATCCCATTTAAAGAAATACATCAGATATGTTGTTCTTATAATTTGCGTTAGTTAAAATAGCATAATTACACTTTGTTGAAAGTAAAACTTATTATTTGAATAATTGTTAGTTGTTACCAATCGTTTCATAACATGTTATATTATATTGTGTTGTATTATATTATATTGTATTGTTTTAATGAAGTAATTTTTATTATTTTCTTTCGTTACATAATTCTCCAAAAAAAAAGTAAATTGTGGGGTAAATTTATTATATCAATTTCTCCTGCATATCGATAGTATTTGCATTATTCTCGTAGTTTCTTTTTCTTCTTCTTTTTTTATTATGATTACTATTTGAATGTTTCACGTGCTTCAATTTTTATATTATTTTACTTTAGGAAAGATCTTTTAGCCAGAAAATTTGGTCAGAATGATATTTTATATATGTTATTTTACCTTTTTAAATATTTTTACCCTTTTAACTTTAACACCTTTTAACTAAAAAATGGAAAAAAGATCAATTTATTTTAAAATAAAAAAATATTATAGTTTTTTTAATTTTTTGGCCAAATTCTGATCAAATTTTCTGGTCATTTAGCACTTCCCTTAATTCACTCTAAATGTTATGTTACACTTTCTTTATTATTTATCATATCGTATTTATTATTGTATTTTCAACCATTTCAAACTGCTTAATTATGCATTAGGGAGTCTAGGATTTTTCAAAAATAACATTTTTATCTTCATTTGGTAGAGATGAAGTCTGTGTTTTTGCCATTTTCATATCTCACTTGTGAGAATATATTACTATGTTGTTATTGTTGTTTAAGATAAATGATAATGAGATGATAACAAGTCATCGTTACATTTGGACTTTTCATTTATATAATGATATTGCACAATAAAATTCAACTAACAATAAATTTTTATTATGTTTAAATTAGCAACACGATCCAATACAACAGGTAGCAAACATCCAAACAAGCTATGAAATTATCCCATTAATTACTCCTTGTCATAATTATACAGTTAATGAAATATACATTGATTTATTATTTATTATGGTTTGATACATACAACATAATGAATGTGCTTAGAATTTATATATTGATTCCACCTCTATTTGATATAATAATAAACATCAGAATTTTAAATTTTAAATTTTAAATTCGCGTCTCACCTGCGGCGATTATTCAAAACAATGTATGCAACTAAGGAATTTCCAAATATTGCTTGTTCCTTTTATGAATTTGTTGATCTTCAGAGCAAGAAATGGATTGGAATTTAATTCTATCGAATTATTTCCATTGTTACTATTACTCTTGCGAATGTGAAAGCTTCTACTTCCCACATCTCCAATCACATCTGAATTATTCAAGCCTATAATTAATAAAACATAAAAGAAATTATTCCACATTCAATCAAGGTTAAAAAAAAGGATGTACACTCCAAATGGTGTGATATAGACATCATATTTTAATTGCATTCTTTCATAGGTCGAATTTGTGATATATACATCATACGGAAACAACTTTATTTACTAAATACTTAATTCACCAGTTCCATTAGGGGAGGATGTAGCCTTTTGGCTACAAGTTTAACAAAACCTGGTCCATAGCTTCCAAGGCATAGTATGTATACACAATCAACTTTAAGAATGCACATCTGAACATCTTAACTTGGTTTAAGTTTGGTCATGTAAACACGCGTGAAATGCCATGTAGGATGCGATATAACTCACACAATGTTATATAGGATGAGTGTATTTACGAGCCAACTTACATCAAGTTAAAATATGTAAATATGAATTTTCAAAATTGGGATATATATTTATTTACCGCTTGAGGCTAAATTAACATGTCTATCAATGAGTTATACCTTTGGTGGAAGAAAAAAAATGACGATATATATAATTTAAACTCAAAAAATTTGAAATATTTGTTAGAACTTACTCTCAAGACTAAAGTGAGAAGTGTACAACTTGAATGATGAAGAATCATCAAGATGAGGACTTCGACCTTCTTCTTTATATTTATTTAGGACAAGTCTTATGGTCTCTTCAACATTTGATCCCAACTTGACCATGGTTTTAATTGGTCCAGGAGTGCCCTCAACTGTCACATTAACCACAACTTTTGCATCCTTCTTGTACTCCTACAACAAGTTATGGAATTTAGCAATCACTTACACAATATATATAAAGTCGTAAAAATAACTTCTTACAGAAATATAAGATAAAATTGTGTACAAATGCTAAATTGAACAACAATTTCACTCAATAGTGTGCTCTACTACTTAATAAATTTTGCTGAGAATCATAAGGTTTCAGGTTTAAATTCTAGTTTAGACAAAATATTCTATCCAAGCACTAATGTGGATAAAGTTATCCCGATACTTGTGTTGTGTGAAATATAGCATAAATACCTAATAAAATTAATCAAAATGCACATAAACTGATTCGAACGCCATAATTATAGAAAGAAATCAATCACTTTATAATTATTTCCTTTTGATCCAAGACTAGTTAGTAAATTGACAATTGATGATTCACTTGATGAACTCAAAGAATCTGAAAGTAGAAATATATGAAATTGAACATTACTTGTTTATTTCACATATTTGATTCACTTATACAAGGTGTAATTAACCGTGTCAACTACACATCCGACTATTTTTTACCTACTTAATTTACATGGACAAAACTTTATCGGCACTCAATATTTACACTAACTCAATATATAATAAATACATGACCATTCGATATCTAAAACAGACTAGCCTGACTAATCCAAAGTCATATTGCATGCGGTGAGCGTATTAAAAGAGAAATTGCTTGCTACTACACTTTTTCCATTCTAATGACTCAAAATCAAGACTTTTTTGGTTAGATGTGGAAAAATCCTATCCATTTCAGCACATTCTGATGGCCTAAGGCAAAATAATTAATACACATTTTCAATTAACTTAATTTATGACTTAATCAGCCATAATGACATAGTATAATGATTAGCAAATAAAGAAACAAAAAAAAGATTTTACCTACCTGAGTACTCATTGGAGAAGGCACATTAAGATAATCCGATGAGAAAAATAAATCCGAACAAGTTTGTGGCCGGAAAAGCACCTCCAACGACGTCGTCGTCGCATCCCAACGACGATCATCTTCATTTTCATCATCAACTCCATTAATATCTCTCCAAAGACAAGGCTCAGATTTCCATCTTTCAATACTTTTTCTTGCCCTATGTTGCTTTAATAATGTTCGTCGTGGCACGGTCCTATTCCTCCGATGACTCAACGTCATGGGGAGAGATGAAGGTTTTTGTACACTGCTACCACTAGCTCTCTCACACATTGAAATTGATCTTATGATAGACTGTATTAAGAATTTAGACGTTTGTGAGTTCTGAATTAACTATAAAAGGAATGAGTAACATTGATCGTAGTATGTGAACAAGCGTTTTCACGAATGGAAGTTAATTGCTTAGTAGTAAAGGAATATGTTTTTTTGGGGACAAATAAAGTGGTTACTTCATAGTAGAGGTAGCTATTTGGGAATATTTAAATAACGTTGCGTGAAATGTTGTTTATATATGTTTTTACTCTTTTGCATTTTCTTATAGTTAAATCCTTCCATTATTGGTAAATTCTGATTTTAGTTTCTATAATATTCAATTTTCAATTAAATTAAATTGTGCATTTTTTATATACATCACAAGTACTAAAAGCAAAATTTATTGTAATAAATTAGGGAGTAAATGTATTATTATATTCCTTTCCCACCTTCAATTTTTATTTTTTTTGGAAAAATGTATTTCTTAAAGGGGGAAGAACAAAGACTAAGAAAAAGAAATGCAATGCATGTTCCTTGCTCAATTGCTTGAAAGTTGAAATGAGCAAGACGCGCTAAACTTGAAAATGATGGTATTAGTACAATGCCCATCACTATATTCTTTCTCCATTCGTTATTCGACTAATTTCAAATCTCATTGAATAGACACTCCCTGCGTACAATGTATAGATAGGTTTTTCATCTTCAACACTTGAATGTGTTGTCTTAAATTGATTAACGATGATGAAAGGGATTCCAAGCGTCTTATCATACTGACCCTTCAATTATATTAGACGACATATTTTGATCAATCATAAAATCTTGGTCTAGGCTTATACCAATAGTGGACCAACAAACATTAGACTTATCAAATTTCTAATTACTTTTATCGAATAACACCAATGATCAGAGATTGGGGAGCAACACCCTCGACAGTTAACATATTCTCAAACTTTAAAGGAATAAGAAGGATATTGTGAATGTTTTGTTGAGCCACACCACAAAATAAAAAGTTTAAAAAATGTTATTTTCTATGAACAAAATTAACTAGCAATGTCGATGAATCGGAAGCCGAATTAATTACTTTGTTGAACTGCACGATAACCTAAATTCCACAAAAGTTGTTGGTTAAGACAACTAGATGGTGGTCATGAAAATCAAAATCCGCTAAGAAGTACATTTTCAAGAATCAAATAGTAAAACACAATAAAATTAAAATAAAAGCCCGTCTAGCTCAGTTGGTAGAGCGCAAGGCTCTTAACCTTGTGGTCGTGGGTTCGAGCCCCACGGTGGGCGTTTATTTCTGTTGTTTTTGAAATGTCAGTTATATGACTGTTTATTTTGCATGGAGTATGATTGATATTGTATTATTTTTTTGTTTGTTTTTGGAATGTCAAGTTATATGACTATTTATTTTGCGTTGAGTGTGATTGATATTTTTTGTCATTTTTTGGTTTATTTTTTAGAATGTCAAGTTATATGACTGTTTATTTTGCGTGGAGTGTGATTGATATTGTATTATTTTTTACCACTCAAGGGTGTGGTTTAGTCAATCTATTGATCGAGAATCACACAATTTTGAATTCAAATTTTTGGGGTTATTACCATCTCCTACCAACAAGTATACATTGCATATAAGTCACAAAATCCATTAGTGAGTAAACCAGTAATGTTTGCATCAAAGATAATTGACTATCAAATTTCTCTTGTGATGCTGTCTTTTTCGACCTTTGCATAAATGTGAGATACTTTACATATAGTAAACTACCTTTTTTTATTTTCCCCTTTATAACAATTCAATATGTTCACATGAAATTGCAAAGACAAACATTATGGAGTAGAATTTTACTTCATATAAAATTTAAAATAGTTTGACAATGTATGATGCTTTTCCAAGGTATTAAAAAAGTTTTTTTTTTATTGATGGTCATTATATTAAGGTTTCCATTTTTAAGTATCGCGAATTCAAATTACTTGAGAATCTAAATTTATTGGATATTTTAAGTTTGACCTCAAAAAATGAAAAGATAATAATCCTAATTGAATATTTTTCTTTTTAACAAGTGCTAATAAATTGTAGAATAGTAATGCGCGTTAAAGTAGATATATGATTTACACATATATCACACTTCTCGAATTACTCTGAATATGTTGTTGTATATTTGTTAATAATGAGCGTTAAACTTAAGAAGTAATATCTATTACGTACATTCTACCCTCTGTAAATCACACTTGTGGAATTATACTTGTATGTTATTTATTTGTTAATAATTAGTGTTTATAAATATAGAATTGTAATTATTGGATATCGAATAAGAAATTAAGAAAAATGAAAAGTTTAACATATTTTATTTTTTAGTTTGAATGAACTCTAAAAATAAATAAAATTTATAAACCTTACAATAATAATTACATATTCAAATAAGTAAATGAAAAATACAAGTAGTATTTTTTTTAAAAAATATTTTATAGTGAACTTTGGGTCCCCTAGGGTTTAGGCCACTGTCCTCTCTTCTTCTTCCCGGAAAATGGCAGCGATCCTAAAGCAGACAACTAAGATCGCCGGAAAACTGTTGAATCCTAAATTGTTATCAACAACAAGCGTTAATGTCCCTCGCTCAATCTTTCCACGCGCCACCCTCAGCGGCGGTGCCGTTCGGTTTGCGTCGACCTCAGGTTTGAGCTACCTCGAGAAGAAAACAGCTCCTCGACGATTGCCGGCCGTTTACAATTACCTTCTTCAAGCAGATGAACGAACTCATTCTACCGGAAATGAACCTATTCCGAAAATTACACTAAGTACTCAATAGCTCAAACTCAATTTTACATTATATTCCCATATTCACTATTTGTTTGATACTTTTGGTTTATTGAGAGTTTAATTTGGTACCTTTTTGGAGCTAAATTGGGCTAGATTACTGCATTTGATTAAAACTAAAGCTAATAGATTAAGAAACTGCACGAAAAGTGTTATAAGTTGCAATTATTCTCGGTAAAATGGTGAAGAAGTATATTTCAAACGAATGCATTAATCAGTTTAATTTAGCTCCAAAATGTCTAGCAGTATTTCCTCAATTTTAGTTTATTATTATGAGAGTTTGATTTTGTACGTTATTGGAGCTAAATTGGGCTAGATTACTGCATTTTGATTAAAGCTAAAGCTCATATATTAAAAAACTGCACGAAAAGTATTATAAATTGCAATTATTCTCTGTAAAATAGTAACAACAACAACATCCCACAAGTGGAGTATGGTAGGGTAGGATGTACGCAAACCTTAGGCCTACCTTTGTGGTGTAGAGAGATCATTTCTGGTAAGACCCCAGACTGTGAAAATGGTGAAGGAGTATATTTTGAAAAACTGCATTAATCATTCTGATTTAGCTCCAGAATGTCTAGCACTATTTCCTCACTTTTGGTTTATTATTACGAGAGTCTAATTTGGTAATGAGCTAAGTTGGACTAGATTACTGCATTTTCTTAAAACTAAAAATTTGATATTTGGAAACTGCACTGATAGTATTATAAGTTGCAATTATCTGCTGTAAAATGGTGAAAAAATATATTTTGAAATGTTAGTGAAAGTTTACTTAGTTTGGATCTCGGGAAGGGAAATAGTGCTAGAAATGTTGGAGCAATTCAATGCATTTGTTTAAAATTAATAAGTTAGATATTCGGATAACTACAAGTTGCAATTATTCTCAGATAATTGCTTAAAATTTATTTAGTTGAATCTCGAGAAACTAATTGTGTGAGTGGCCAAATATCTTGGGGATTGAGGGAGTACAGAAGTAAGTTTAGAGTAAATTTATAATCAGAGTTTTGTGACACCTTGTGTATTGGCGAGGAGATGAATCTATCTAAGCTACTTTTGCACCGTTGCTACAATGGTGCTCTGCATCACTTGCTTAATATTTTGAATCTGCCTCTGTCTGAAGTTGAACATCTATATTCTTTATTTCTATTTGAGACATTAAAATCGTCTTATTTACATGAAATCTGATAAGGCTCCGTGGATTTGAGAATCTGAGTTTATTACAATGCTTTTATCTTCAAATGAGTTATATATTATGCATTGGTTCTGTATTGCAGAGTTTCAGGAGCGGTTGGTGGGTGCTAATCTTTGATAAATGACAAGGTTATTAAGTAGATTCAGGGATATGACTATTCAGCATCCACTAGCCTAACACCTCTTTGATTAGGTTGTTTTATGTTGACTGAAAGTTTAGGCTTCAGTTCATCATCATTTGGCTTGATTAAAAATCAGATTACAAAAGGATGGTGTTTTAGTGTGGGGGTGGTGGGAACTAGAAAGTACATGTGGGGCTACTTGTTTGACATTAATGTGCTCTCCCTATAATTTCTGAGTGTGCCACTTATACAATTGTTATCTAGTAGATTGTTGCAACCTTATGGCCTCTATTTGAGATGAAATGTCAAGCAGCATGTAGGATGTTAAAGATGTTAAGTGTTAGTGGTCCGGCTTCTTCTTACTGTTACCTTCACATACAGGTCATGTTTCTGTGAGCTTTGCGGGATATGTTGACACTAGAAGTCATACAGAAGACACTAATGCAGGTAGATTTCTTCTTGATTTACAATATTGGACAACATAGACAGCAAATATGTCTGAGAAAATTGGTTATTGTCTGTAGCAAGCACAAAGGCTAAGAAAAACACGCCTATCAAGAAGAAAGGGAAGAAAGGAACTCAGAAGCAAAATACCAGCACACGTAAGGAGTTATCTGAAAGAATTATGTTCAGCAGTTACATTGGCTTTTAAATTTGTAATTATTAATGAAGTTGTTTTCCTTTTGCAGCAAGCAAAGCTCGTATGAGAAGTATTAACACAGGTCTGTTATGTTCTTTGACGTGACATTTTTTTGTTTGATGAGGTAGTTCTTCGACTTGACATGACATGTGAACAATATGTCCTCCGTAAATGCTATCCCTAAGACATTTGTATTTATCTGCAGCTGGCACAAAAATTATTATGAAGCTTGATGTCAAAAATGCTAATTGGTTGAGTGAAAGAGTCAGGGAGAGGATCATGCTCATGGTTAGTTCTTCTTTTAATCTTTAACATTATGCCCTTGAGGAAATGTCACTTGAAATTTGGTTGGTCGTGCTTTTTCTTCATCTTGCTTTCATTAGTTCCGGATTTCCATTCT